AGCATAGTGGGAGACCATTATGACCTTATATACTGTAATTTTTATATTTGTACTATAATCAGGTAACTTTTAAAAATAATCAATATTAATCAGTATTTTTAAAAGTATACCACACTGTATATACCACATTTATATACCTATTATCTAGAGCTACAAGAAAAAAAAAGGAAAGGAAACTTATTTGCCGACACTTGCAAAAAATGATCATTGGGTTAAAAACAGGAAATATGACAAAATTACAAGCAAACCTAAATTTCAGATTTCCCTTGAAAGTATGGGTGTAAAGTAATAATAAATTTCACAGATAAACCTGATAGGTGATAAATTAATAGTCAATTTATGCTTTATTTTTAATATGTTTGTGTCTGTGGCAATCACGTTATTTAATCTTACAGAGACATCATTATTTGGCAAAAGATTTAGGTCCTGTTACTGGAGATTTTGCAGGACCTGACTTCAAACCCAAATTTGTCTGTATAAACTAGTGCCATGGCCTCAAAACCCAAGTATGTGTAGATCACAAATTTCCTTCAGTTGTTCCTATCAGAGAGTCATCCTTTACTCTGTTGTGAAGGTCCTTCACTTTGTTAGGAAGGACATTTTAATGAACCCATTTGCACCTGCCATTTATTTACAATAGCTAAAACCATGCATTTCAGAGAGATTTTTCATAGTTGTCCATGTCGATCTACATGTATTATTTTTAAACATTCACTGACATTCACTGCAATGTAAGACAAATTAGATGTCTTGTGGTAGCAATTTTCAGAAGAACCGGTTGTGAAACATTTTTGTAACTAAAAATTTCAAGGAATTTGTAACAGAATCCCACCCACACTTTTCTGTGGAGAAAAAGGAATCACAAATATAGTTTTAAAAAACAAAGGCTAAAACTACCTGTCTTCTGATACTTGAAAAACAAACATGAATGTAGCATGCCCCCTGGGATCTGAATATCTGAAAAACTGGAATCAAACGATATTCTAAGGAGTGCTTTGGTCAACCCGCTGAGGCAAAACCCCAGCCACTCAAAATTTACCTGTGTCAAGACTGCCACAACATACCATTTATTACCACTCACTGAGGCCTTGTGTGAAATCAGGGCGGCCACTGGTCCAGAAATGTCTTCAGAGAAAGGAGAAAAGCCACTAGTCTGAGGGGGTTGTTGCTGGGGAAAGCTCCTCTGTAGCCAGGACCGTCCTGGGTGAGAACCGCCTTGCTTAGCCCAGTGAAGGAGCCCCCAGGCTGTCCTGACAGCTTGCCCAGATATGGGGCACAGGGGAGGCCCGAGGGTGAGGGTGAAAAGACATCAGCAGTCAGACATCAAAGATGGACTCAGACTCTTTATTGCAAGGACTTGCCAAGAACATAGCAAGAACGTGGATCATACAGAAAGTCTTCCAAGGTGGCTCAGCACTCATCTTCAACTATACTTATTGTAAGTGATTTAGAAGAAGGTCTAATAGAGAAATAGGGCATAAGTTTTTCTGTAAAAATGTCACTGAATATATACAAAGGAGACCTATCATTCATATTGTAAAAAGAAACTTCTCCCAAATCATAGTCCAGAAAAATGCCAATCCGACAGGCATTTCCTGAAACCCGTGTGTCACGGGTGGTTCCCCAGAGCTGAATTTGCCAGCAGCCATTGCTTGGGGAAGGTGACACAAGAGAATTTCTTGGGAAAGATTCTTTACACACCCCTAAGGACCATTCCCCGCTGCCTCTGCCTTCTACCTGCCAAAAATGCCTGCCAGCATCAAAACCCTCCGAACTCAGGACAGCGGGGTAAGAGGTAAACTCTTGGGGAGGATGAACACAGTTTGGTTCCATCCGTCGAAAAGTTGCAGTTTTCCGATCTTGTGAAATTTGGAGGCTGTGGTGAGCAGTTTCAGGCTCCAGTGTCAAATGGACCTGAAAGGTGCTGATCATTTTGTGCAAGCCAAAATACTGTGGGGGGAGAGTGAAAACCTCCTTCTTTACTTCGTATGAAATGGCTGCTGGGCTCTCTAGGTTTTCATAGCTTCTGTGGATTCTTTCAATGCCTGTGAGTAAATCCAGATCAGTCTGGGAACACTTGTTGGTTATTTCATAAAGCAGGCTTTTCAACGTGGATCCGTGGTCTGATATTTGGATTTTTCTCCCAGTGATTTTATCTTCAACACTCTTTTCTTCATTTAGCAGCTTAACGTGAATTTCATCATGCTCTGTTCCCAAGAAACGCTTAAAGTGTTCAACTTCAGAGTGCAGTTTGCTCCTTTGATTCTCCAT